GTCTATATCACATATATAACTAGAGATAGATAGTTGGTTGCGTTGGATAGGGAATTTATTCTGTATATATTTTTGATTTTGACATTGACCTTGAATCTATGTCGGTTTTAATACAACTTTTATTTGATTTTTATGCATTTCCATGTGCAGACTGCAGACTATGATGTTGTTCAACAAAAGTGCCCTCGTCTAGTATGTGTATTCAACGAGCGCTACGCGACACTCGAAAAGGTCCCTTCAACAGCCATATTCATTTATTTAATTTCGATGGTTTGTCTGTTTGGAGAGAACCAGAGCAGAAATGGCGTTTTTCAGTTGAAATTTCGAAGGGAATAATAATCATAATAAAAGGAAATGAAACTGAATACTACTGTGAAACAGAGGCTATTTCTTTGATTCGTTTTTGAATTTCGCCTGAGAATCTTTAGAAAGTATGTGCAGAGTAAGACAAATGGTTGGCGAACTCTATCTATATCTTACTTTGTTGCTATAAAACATTGCTCTCTTCTCGCTCGCACCTCGTTGGAAATATTCTTTTCCTTTTTTACCATTTTTTATTCACTTTCATCAGTTTAAAATAGCCACTGCGACCGTTGTAGATGACAATTTCGGTTGAGACGCTATTGCACAACCACTCGCTTTTTAACAACTATGTTAGTATTTTCGGTTAAACGAGACGTACACAGTCCAGAAAATTGAAGAGGGAAAACTCGTACAAAACACAGTAGGATATATTTTTACGCCTCAGACATATTGAAGGCAAAATTTATATGCTCCATATATCTAATATGCATGGCATAAACGAAAGCGATGGCGAAACAAAAATAATGCGCAATTCCGAGACAACATATGGCTGTAGTAGGAAATTGCGAAATTGCTTTTAAATTTGTTTATTTCATCGTTTGAATCAACAAAGGTAAGACGACGAATCGCGTCTGAGAGCCGCACTTCTTTTCCATTCACCCGTATGATGTGTGAGCAAGTTTTTGCTTTATATTTTGATGAATTGTAAATTTTCCCTTCGTTTTTGCAAAGGACTATATGCAATTTGTATGGTTAAATGTATGCAAACTATGCAAATAAAAAACCAACCGAATGGAATCATATTATATTTTCAATTTTGGCAATTTCACAGAACGTTGCTGCTAATGCAATTCAATATAAATAAATTGCTATTGAAACTACGGCTAATATCCAGTTTTCTATTCCTAACACCGTGTTAATTTGTTATCGATCATAACTTTGATTCTGTGGAAATCTTGAGAGTTCAATTTTCCTAAATCTAAATCACATTCGCTCAATGCACTCTATGCAATTAATTTAAAATTGTTAATGGCTTGGAAAATTTGTAACCGTTACAAGTTGCAAATGAAAAATGGTATATCCCTTTTCCCTACCGATGAAAACGACAGTTTGATACCGATTTATGTGTATTTGATGATAGTTTAAGTGTTTGACATTGTGCTTTAGAGCGGCGGGAACTATGGTTTTTTTTTCCTTTTCTCATGTCATTTTAATCACATACCACCGAACCCCAAGCAAACCAAAAAAGTAAACAATAAAATCATAAATGAAGCCGCACACACATTAAGTTGTGCATGCAAACATATTTCTTTCGTGTCCGTTCAGGTAAAGTCATTCCCATCACTGCAGTAATCATATAATAGAACAAAAGACTAACCATTTTACCATTTCCAATGTCATGCACTACAACCTTTTTTTTAGCCGACTTGATGCATCAATAAAATGGAATTCGATATATCTAGTCAATTGCGTGTTTATGACAGTGAGTGTACTTTTGAGAAAACTATTTGTTGGGAAGATTCAGTTTTATTTGTGCGCAAAGGAATGTGTATACTTCTTCGAAAGCAACATATTTCCAAACAAGTCAATCGATTGACCATATTTCTTTATTGAATGTAATTGCTCATTTATGCTTACTTCTTGGTATGCATATTGTTTATTACATGCACTAAAATCCGACTGAGATTTATTGCAACAGCTACAACTCTTACTAAAGTCCACTAAACACATTTATGTCATTGCCAAACATTTGTTTCTATGTCATTTCATTTAAAAAAAATTCTGTTTAAAAATCATACCCACCAAACCCAAGTGAGGTGATTTTTTTTTCATTATAAATGACATAAATAGCGCTATCATTTGCAATAATCAGCCTGTTAAAATTCGTAATGGTGTTTGTTTTATTTCAATTTAAAATGTGGACATCACCATTTGGGACACCCCATAAATTGATTAAAAAAACTTGCAAAAAGAAATTATTACATCCCGAACTCAATCAGATTGAGTCAATCTTGATCAAAATAAAAAACATAAGCTTGCCGCGAACAAATACCACTGGAAATAATAATTTTTGAAAATTCGAAAATTTCTCAAATTTTGGAGAAAAATAAATAATAAAATGTTTAATTTTTTCGAGTGGTTATAAATTTATTAAATTGTGGCAATTGACTCAAACAGATTGAATCGATTTAATTCTTGAAACCAAAATCCTTAATTTTTAATATGGACTAAACAAAAATGTTAAGTTTTGAAAAAGTTTTCGTCAATTTATATTCACAGTAGAGAGATTTATATTAAAATGTGTATTTTTTTATTTTAACACAGATTGATGAACCATATATTAATAAATAAAGTAAAAATAAATAAAAACAACACAAACATCGTGTTATTAATTCACCACATGCTGTGTAGCATATGCATTGTTGTTGCTTTTGTAATAAACAATGATTTAATTCTTGTTGGAAAAGGAATAAAAAAAATTATTTTATTAATTATTTCTTGTGAAATGAATTTAGATTAAAAAAGAAAAAGAAAAAAAAAAGAAAAAAGATATTCCTTGCGAGCAAGGTAGGCCCCGACGAGATTCGAACTCATGATCTCCTGTTTACTAGACAGGCGCTTTAACCAACTAAGCCACGGCGCCATATCTACTCTTTGGGATAAGTTCTTATTTTGGTACAATGATACATAACATGTGATATTAGTGGTTGATGTTCTAACAGCAGAAAACTGTTTACTACGATTATGCAAATTGAATTGAATGGCACTGTTTTTCAATAACATCATATTGAGGACATAATTCACATGTCTGGTCACATTTTTTCGTTAACATTTTAAATGGAATAAGGAATTTTTCGACTCCAAATACTCAAGCTCCAACATTTGGAATGACTTTTGAATTGTGCTAAAAATAGCCGAATGCTTCAGTTCAGGTTGAAAATACAAAATTATTCTAAAATCGAAATGCTCTCAGATAAATATAAGGCTATGCTATACAAGCCTATGAACTTAAACATAACTATATTGTTTGCATGTTTACGGGAATTTCCTTCGTGTACATAAATTTCATTATTTTTGAAATCAGAAATTTTTCGTTTCCCAGTGTTTGTGAGCTGGATTTTTCTAATCCTTCTACCATCAAAAAGTAAATCCATAGAATTAATAGAAATAAATAATGCATTTTGCCTAGAAACACCCTGATTGCACTCATTAAAAAAAATGATCCTTTTTTAAATGTAAATTTTTGGCAGATTTAAATATTCTTATGCAGTTGTGTTAACGACAGAACTTCTTGTCAGTAATGGGGAATTTTCTTCATTTCATATGTTAGTCTGAGGATCATCAAATCATACAGAAAGCCTGGATAACCCTCCTTTAAATCGTCCAAGCAATGCCTTCCCAGGCGGAAGACGAGTGAGAATTTTTTTCGATTTGCTATAGTTTTTCACTGGCGAATGGGTTTGTTGACAACATCAAGATTAAAGGAATTGATTAGTATTCTTAAACCACCGCCGTTAGCTTGAAAAACTCCTTAATACAGCATACTACGACATATAGTTCAAATTTAACAAAAAAAATTATATATTTGATATTTTGTTACTTTTCCGCACACACCTAGTGTGAAAGGGGAAAGTATTACAATAGGTCAAAATTTACGAAACCTCAAAAACATGTTTTCTGGACGTTTCTGAGGTCAGAGAACCCGAATCAGGCCGTTTTGAGCATGGTTGTTGTGGGTCGCTTCCACGTCGTACGTCGTACGTTGTCCGCCGTACGCAAAATTTGTCCATCGATTTTCTCACCACCCAGAAAATTTATTTGAAATCTGACTTCACGGGATGATTGGGGGTCCCCAGGAATAGAAATCATCAGATTTTGAGCGACTTTGGTTGATGGAAAAAAATTCCATGCCTGGAGTGATACCTATGAAAAAGAGTCCAATTTTCGTCCAAAAGTCATACTTAATGTAGACTTAAACACTCAAAAATATGTATTGGGGGGTTTTTTGGCACGAGAAAACCGAATCCGACGTTAGTTTTGAGATGCAATCAATTTTTAATACAGTTTCCTTGAAAAAATCACAAAAAATTTGGATTTTTGTATGGGAGCCATGCCTGTATGCTACCTTAATGACGTGAAACTTTGCACAGACTATTTTTTACACAAAAGTATAACATTCTGAAAATTTGAAGAGATTTCAATTAAAATTAGGGGTACCTCCCATATAAAATTTTCAATTGGCTCAAAAACGAATATTTTGTATGGGAGGTACTCTTGATTTTGGTTGAAATTTCTCCAAACCCTACGAATGTTATTTGTGAAAAAAATAACCTGTGCAAAGTTTCACGCCATTAAGGTAGCATACAGACATGGCTCCCATACAAAAATCCAAATTTGTTGTGACTTTAGTTATGAAAAGTGTTTCAAAAATAATCTTTATGGCAAAATTAACGTCAGACATATTTTTATAGTATTTTGTTAGAAAATAGAATACTTTCAAATGTCGTACAAATGGGTTCATCATGAAAGTGTGAAAAATCTTTTCTCGGGTACTTCTGCTATTAAATTAAAGAATATTTCGTTGCCAAAGTTGAAAAATATTTTTTGGTCTCGAACTTTACGCCGCTTGAAAGACTTGAAGAATCGAGCAAATATTATTTTGAACTTTCTTAATAAAATACGCAACTACCACCGTGCGGAAAAGTTCGTCTTACTCCCGTAAGACTCTTTATTTTTATTTTGCTATTGATTTACTTTTTATTTATTTCAACAAAAACGTGAACAAGTTGCACAATACTGATAACATTAAACATATACTTAAAAAAATACAAAATATGTTAAACTAAACTGTTACAATTCCGTCTGAGAGTGTCCAATTCACCTTGCAGTTCAGCTATTCGTCTCTTTGCTTCTTTTTCGTGTTCTTTGATTGCAACTTTTGTACTTTCTTTAACTTTTTCCACTGCCTTTTCGTAGGCCTGTTTAATTCGTTCGCTTTCCCGTTCGATGTGTTTCTCTTTATCGTCCGAATATCTTTTGTAGTTTGCTGCCGTTTTCTTAGCAGCCACGTATTTTTCGTTAAGACTTTGAACCGTCGCCGCATGGCTACTTTCCATGATTTGCATCTGTTCGTTGAGATTTTCTTCACGTTCAGCAAAAGCAGCAAGCTCTGCTTTCCATTGTGCCATCAATTTACTTACACTGTCACGTTCGGCTTGGAATTGATTCGTGCTCTGCTCTAGTTCGTTCATTAAAGTTTCGATACGTTTATTTGCCGCATCAAGTTCATTACGTGTGGCCAACAAAATTGCCTGATGTTTTTTCATAGCCTCCGCTTGCTCCTGATCTTTCTGGTCTAAGATCTGCCGGATTCCGTGACGCTCTTTCAAAATACACGTTTTCAAATTGGATATATCAGTTTCACGCTCCTTTAGCGTCGCCTGCATGTCGTTGATTTGTTGTTTGTGATTGAGTATTTGCTCCTTGAATTCGTTTTCAAGTGATTTTACTTCGATGGCCATTGCGCGTGACATTTCTTGTCGAATTTTCTTCTCCGCTGATCGATCCAAGCCTTGCGGGCTACTTCGACTGCCAGAGCGAGGACTTTCAAGCAAATCTTCTGTTGATACACATTGATCACGAACCCGACTAGTTTGACTACTGATTGCAACCACATCTGTTAGAATTGATTTGGTTGGAGATTGATTTCGCATAAACTCTTCAAATTGGCTGGCTTTGTTCTTCAACTCATCGAGTAATTGATCGTGTTCGAGCTTAAGTGCCAATTTGCTTGTCAAATCGGCTACGGTTTGATCAGCTTTTTTCAATGACTTTTTCAGCTCATTTATGTCCTTCGTGTATCCCGAACAAGTGGTTTGCAATTGCAAATTTTCCATTTCATACTAGAATTTGGATAAAATTAAAAGAAATTAGTAAACGGCTGAAATTGACATAATTTTGTTTAAAATACCTTCGCTATTTTCGTCCCCAAATCAACACATTTACGGCATGAATTTGAAATGTCCTTTTGCTCCTTCTCGATACCGAAAATTTCTGAAAATGATACATTTCTCAATATCATCTCCCTTTATCAATCAAAGAATACACAAATTTCTTTTTACCTTGTTCATACTTGGCACGCATGTTTTGAATCTGAATTTCATGATCGATTTTCTCTCGTTCGAGTATTTTTGAAACTTCGGTACACTTCATTTCGGCCAGTTGCAGTGATCGTTCCAAGCTGGCGACCATATTTCGTTGTTCGAGAAGCTCTTTGTTTATGTCGATTGCTTCGATCTGACGAAGTCTTCGCGAAGTGTCTTCTTTTTCATCCGAAATCCGTACGTACAGCTCCTTTATTCGTAAGCATTCCTGTTTGGCTTCGTTGGCCAAGAATTTCTGTTTTTCACATTCCAAACATGAATTCGACTCAAAACGGCTAATCTTTTGTTGAAGCTCAGCAATATCCTTACATGCTTCCCGATATTTCTCTTCAGTATGATCACGTTCATCTTCCAAAGCACGAATCGTTTCATTCAAATGATTACAATTGGAACGGAAATTCTCATTATCTCGTTCGAGTTTGTGCAGGCGATTCAACAGTTCGCTTTCATCTTTCGGGGTATTTTCTTGACTGCCTGACATCATTTTATTCTTGTACTCGTCCAGTTCTCTTTCCGTATTCTTCAGACGTATTCTAAAACGTTCGTTTTCTTCTTTATTAATGTTCAATTCGATCAGTACACGATTTTCGTCTGCCTTAATTCGATCAATTTCCCGATTTTTCTCCATCAACTCCTCTTTCAATGCAAGAATCTCTTGTCGTTTCGCTTTTTGATCGGTCACACAACGATTAAACTCGAGTTTCAGTCTTGTGATACGATCGCCAACCAGCAACGGTGTACTGCTCATAGCAAGCCTTGGATGGCTGACCGCTTTTCGAATCATCGGCGTATCCATGATACCATTTGACATGAATTGATTTTCGTCAGTGGCCGACGATGAAATCGTTTCGACATTGTGAATGGCCGTCTCGGTGAGTTGGTCGAGTTCAGTGGTTGTCGACTCCAATCTAAAAAGAAGCCAAATAAATGGTGATAAAAATAGAAACTTTTTAACAAACTAGTAACTAACCTCAACGTCAAGTCATTGATTGTCTGTTGCATCTCTCGATTTTGTTGCTGTAAATTTGTTACCGACCGCAACAATTTGATATTTTCCTGCGCCAAATCTCCGCCGCTTTCGTTTTTCATAATCATCTCCTGCACTTGACGCTGCGATTCGTCCAACCGTTTCGACAATTGATTTATGGTATCCGATTTATCCAGCAACATAGCCTCGCGTGAACTGTGCAACTCATTGTTTTGCACCAGTAAACGTTTTAACTCACTCTCACGATCCTCCAACTTCGTACGCATTGTATTTATTTGTTGTTGCATCATATCAGTTTTGGCTGCATGTTGGTCATTCAATTGTTTTATCATGATATCCGTATGCTTCTCCGATGTGTAGCCGGCATTTCGTTCGAACATGTGATATTTGTGCTGTATCTCGCTCAACAGTGACTTTGTTCGCTCCAATTCACCAACCAACTCCAAATTTCTGGCATCAAGCGATTTTATTTTTGCATTCAATTCGGCAATTTGTTCATCGCGTTCGATTAACTTTTGTTTTGATTCCACAAATAGTTGATGTGTTTGAGCCCGATTCATATTTGAGCGCTCTTTCTCCGCCTCGGTGATGGCAAAGCGTTTGTTTAGCTCATCAATTTTATTCTGTAATTTTGTACGTTCACTGGTAAATTCGACGTTTATGTTTCGCAGCTCTTCATTCTTTGATGCCAGCATATTTTTCAGCTGTAGAATTTCGGTGGCTCGTTCAGTGTCACGATTATCGAGATGTGCTTTGTGATTGATGTTTCTGCCATTGAATATTCCTTTCTTACCATTTACCGACGAATTACGAACATTGTACATTGTATCTTCGTCATCATCGAATTCCGCCAGATCATCAAATGCATTTTCTAGCTCATTTTTCAGCTGTCAAAATTGAAAGCGACATTCAGTCTTCGTGACAAATAATCATACAAAATTGAGTAAGTTACCTCTTCATTACGTCTCTTTCGATCTTCAATAGCATCTTCTTCTTCGATTCTCTGTTGTTCGGTGTTTAATTTGATGCTTTCAGCTCCCTGAAATAAACTCAAACCAGGCACATCCATTTTTACTAAACACGATACTATGCGTTCTATTATTGCATTTCTAATGTGTAAGACGATTTGAAAAATTTCATGAATAAAAGCAAAGGTTTGTGGATGAAAGACACTTATGCATTGGAATCTTTTCGTAAACAAATTTCAGCGTTAGTTTGAATCTAAATGCTGAACTGTCAACACAAATACGCGCGTTAATGTGCTCAAACTATCCACTTGAGGCGCTGCCAACAATTAGATTAATATGTGTCAACAAACCTGTTTTCTCTTCAATAAAATCGAATAAAATTGCTTTTTAAATAGAAAAAAATAATTATTATAAAACAAATAAATTGAATAAAAAAATACTATTAAACTTGACAGCAGTACCAAAATTGATGGACAAATATGGATGAGCTTGGCTATGCGAAAGATATTACTTTTTGACGTGTTGAATGCCCTCTATTGAAAATAGCGGCAAGTTCACTTGTAAACAATGCATAGAAAGGATTTGAGAAGCAATAAGAAAACTTTGTGTGTGTTTTTTTTTTTTTAAATGTTACACTTGATTTATTTTATTTTTTTCCACTTTTTTTTGCTCATTTTCATTTGATTTTCAATTTTTTGTTTGATATTCAATCATATGAAATTTTAAAAATGATGCCCCAATTACGGGGTTTGTTGTGATTGGCTCGTATCATTTTTCTTGTTTTTTTCTTCTTTATCAATATTTCCATGTTTGTTGTTGTTTTTCAACGCATGTTTGAGTATGGATACAATTTGCGTGCAGTATTTCATACGGACTGTCCGCTTATACTCATGTACGCATTTAAATTTGGACACTTTTCCAGTTTGGTTGAATCGATCTGAAAGTCTTTCGGTACTCTCCGCCAGCTTTGTGTATCGAAGTAGTAAAATGTACCTCGTTCCGTTACACCATGCTTTTCGTAATGCGATATGAGACCTGGTACGCGTGTTATCCACACCTTTTCTTCCGTGTGATATCGCCAATCTCGACTATGCCTGCAATTATATCATTGATGAATGTCGTTTAATGAATGTGTTACAAAGAAAATATGTGTATATGTTTGAGTTGCTTACAGTTCGGCAGCGGCAGCCAATTGCATGAAATCGCCCACATTTGTATAGAACAAAAAGAAGAGTAATTCGTCTTTATACTTTTTCAGTGACAATGTTGACAGTTTATCTCTAATTGACGTGTTAACCAAGTATTCCGGTATTACGGGAAAGTCTATATCTTGTGGCCTATTAATAAAAAACACACACATGCCCAACAATTAATCAATTCAGGTTATTTACATTGAAACATTGTGATTAAAAAGCGCGCGTAACGTACCGGCCGGGTTGATCTGAGAATGGACCGCCAAAACTTGGATAGAGATTTTCTTGCGAGTTTAAGTTTAATCCCAAGCTTGTCAGATCCTGTCCCATTGCTAACGTCACCAAATTTGGATTTGATTCCGCCGCTCGAATGAATGTTAACAAACCAACCATACCGAATTGATTGTTTACCATACTTGCTGGGATATTTGTGACCATTCCTATGAAAAAAAAAAAAACAAAACGTTCCACAATTAAAAATGATCATCCGATGCCGTGGGGATAGTAATAGATACTTACCGTCGGGTGATGTTTGAATGCCACGTTTAAATGCCTTGTCTTGAGCCGACGATGAATCGCCTTGCATATCAACAGACATATGATGATGTGACTTGCTATCAATTTCTCGTGAGCCGTTTGCACAATCCATATTGTCTCCGCTATTACCAACACCTGTTCCGCCAATATTATGATTCAAATTCAGTTGTTGTGATGATGATGACGACATCAAATCATTTAATTGAGTTCCTGGCAGCGCTGGAAAGTCTTCGTTGGACATTTGAAATTCCGTTTGTTCGGCAGTTGGTTGCTTCACCATACCCACTAAAAATGTGTATAAACATAACCAAACATAAATATTACAAATGTTATTTGTTTATTTTCAGTTTAAATTTGTTTATAAAATACACACATAAGTTGGCACACATACCGTATGGTTTACTTCCCGGTGTTTGGATAATGTTCGATTGTGGCATTGAATCATTCCCTCGTGCATTTGTTAGCGATGGAAATTCAGAGAGATCTAACAGTGGCGGTGTACCAGTATCATTGTTGCCAAACACAGAGTGAAAACTCAACCCACTATTGCTATTTTGGCCGACATAACCTCTTGACGGCATGAACGAGCCCATCGATGTCTGTAAATAATAAATAGTAATAACAAAACAAATAAATAAATAATTTACCAATTTCAATAAATGTGCATACCATTTGTCCAAGGTTTTGCATTTGCCTTCGGTCATTCATTGTTCGTTGCCCAAAAAGATTTGCACGCGCTTGTTGATTTGTATTGCCGGCATTGTTGCCACCGAGCGTCTGATTGAACACACCACCAAGTTGTACGGCACTCCGATTGGGTGACAGTTGTGATGGCGGACCGAAACCTGCATTATTCTGTTGAAACATTCCGGACGTTGGTGTTACATGCCCCGAATTTACTGCACCACCAAAAGCAGCACCGATGCTGCCTCCCCGATTACTTAATGATGAATTTGCTATACTTCGAGGCGGTTGTTGAAAGTTCAAATTTGCCATTGATACAAAACACGCACATCAATCGAACGCGATTGAATCCACACATACAAATACAAACTTTGTAAAGACCTGGTTATCGTTGTCTTGCCACTGAATCTCTCACTCTTTCTCTGTGTTCTGCTTAGCTCTCTCTCTCTCTTACTCTGTCTGAAGATCAATTTATGAATATGAGCAGTTTCCCTTTAATTTTTTTTTGTACGGTGGAATTATTATACAGCGAATGTTTGTTGGATTTATTTTGAATATTAATGTAGTTGTGCTTTTATTTTTCTCAAATGTAGCGGTCAAAACAGAAATATTTTGTAGTTACACGTCTTCTATGCGAAACGGAAAAAAAAGAGAAAAACGAGAAAGAAAAAAACAATTCAATAAAATTATGCTTAAGTAGTCAATATCATTCAATTTCATAGTTTCAATATTATTCACTATTCTCTTTAAATGAATTCAATCAACTTTAAATTTTTGTTCTTAAAATAACCTCAAATATTTGGCAATTTTGCAAACCAAATTACAAACGACGTCTGTTGTGTACAATTTATTATCGGTTGTTTTTGTAAAAAAAAAAGTGCGTACATTTTTTTAAAGCGTATTTTTTGTGTGTGTATCTCTTTCACTCATTGGCCAACATCTACTGTCTATATTACCGTGTAGGACAAATTGTTTATTCGCTTTTTAATTTTCAGGTGCAAGGTATTTACTTTGTTTTTTTTTTAATATCTTCTTTTTGGAAATATGTATAACACACACATCTTTCGATTTAGCAAATATCGGTTGATGATTTACAACTTATGATTGCTGAAATTTGTTGGTGGTGTAAACCCAAATTTCAGGTGAAACAACGTAGTTTTGTCTCGTTTTTCCCTGTCTTGAGGTAAAACACAAAATGTATTGCTATCGGATGCAAAACGAATTTCAATGATCACTAATAAAAAAACTGAAATTCATCTCATTTCCATCGAGATTCAAAGGGAATTTAGCACCAAAATGTATGAAAAAAGACGAATAAATAATTTGTATTGGTCTCTTCTCTTTTGATTGCTTTATTCTTGTTGGCTTGTACATAGGCATACACTCGTAGTCACACATTCACAACAAACCAATTATTTTGTACAATTTCTATGCACACCAATTGTATATTTCGAAACATTTAAATGTTTTTTTTTATTAAAATGGATAATTTTTCGCTCACCAAAACTATTCTAAACTTCTTGGAATTGATTTTATTTTATTTGTGAATTTTATTTCTCTGACAAAAGAAATCTTTTTTTTCTCTTTGCTGAAAACTCTTTCGCTACAAGCACTTTGCGCCCTCTACATAAAAAACAACCGATTCCCCAATAGCCATACTTCTCTACATACATATTCGTATTGTTTGTCTGTAGTTAAATGTATATGCAATGTTTTCGAACATGTATACGAATAAACGCCATGTATTATGGATAAATACGCTTGTGTGCGCTACACTTGTGCAATGGATAATTCGGTTTGCCAGATGTGCGAATCTATGTGTTTGGTTAATATGTGAAACCATTTAAAATACACTGAAATTTATTGTCTTTTGCGAATAGTATTTTATTCGAATTGTTTCCATGTAAAAACATCTGTTTTGGTTTTAAAGTAAAAGAAAATTATTTACAAGAAAACAGTTCCAAGGTTCAACGAAAGCATTTAACAGAAAATATCCGCTTCGTTACGGATTTAGAGATGGTAGAAATAATTTTTCCATGTATCAAATGAATATGCCTTTGATGGAATTTTATTTTTTCAAAATAAAAAATTCTGAAAAAAAAAAACGTATGTTAACCAACTGAATGAATATATAAATTCATGAAAATAGAAATATCAACAAACTCAAAAGTCAAGTGAAATTGGTTATTCGTTCAAATTCGAAAAGGGCGACAGTGTCCCTCCCTACATTCGAATTATTGATCAGCTGCAAATGCCAGATTTTCGAATTCGAAGTCGAATTTCTTACGACGATAGTCATATGACTTATCAAAGTATTTTCTCATTGATATTTTCCATTTCGATTCAAACAAGAGCATAGACTTGAGAAGTCACACACAGAGTTTCGGTGCATTACTACTGGAACTTCTCTTGATACATTTTTTTCTCCATTTATCCTTTCTTTTTGTAAGTTTTACAAATTCTAATATTGTTTTTTAAATGTGTTCATCTACGTTTAACAGATTAAAATGACAAACGAATTTAATTGAAACATTTTTATTCATTTTCTATTGCGTTGGACATAGATTTTTCCCGAGTAAAAAAAACTAAATACTCCGACAAAATGGCACTCAGCGATGCTGACGTTCAAAAACAGGTGAGTAATTTCCAAATTCAATAAAAAGATTTACGCCTAAGATGTTTGGCAAGCCTATTTCGAGTTTCGTACCATAATGCCATCGAAAGAAACTAAGTTTTCTGTGATTGTGTACATTGGACATATGATTGTGAGCGAGGTCACAAGATTCCATTATTTTTTTCAACTACTATGACTTTCGATATGTCATGTGAATGCGATACGGATATTTGTTTTGCATTTTTTCTCTCTTTTTAATAGAAAAAACCATTTCGAATATTTTATTTATTCACTGAATATTACTTTTAAACTGATAAAATAGCATGCAATTTCTAAATTAATCGATTTTTTTTCTCCGCTAAACCATCAATACTGATCAAATTTTAAGCGGTTTAATTTAATTTAATTTGAAGGTGTTTGTGTGTCACATGATCTCAGTTTGATTGAACATGACATATGATTTTATAGCATTCTTCCCATTTCATCGTGTATATTTCCTTTAAAATGCATCACTTAGTGCAAATAAACTCAATTTTATATGTAAATTTTTTTAAAAAAATCTTTAGATTAAGCACATGATGGCTTTCATCGAACAAGAAGCCAACGAAAAAGCCGAGGAAATCGATGCTAAGGCCGAAGAAGAATTTAACATCGAAAAAGGACGTTTAGTTCAACAGCAACGCCTTAAGATCATGGAATACTATGAGAAAAAGGAGAAACAAGTTGAATTACAGAAGAAAATTCAATCATCGAATATGTTAAATCAAGCCCGTCTCAAGGTTCGATGAAAAAATGTTCAGTGATTTATTTGAAATATGCCGAAAGTGCGATATTAAATGAATTTTGTGTTATACGATTTAGGTATTGAAAGTTCGGGAAGATCATGTTCGTAGTGTATTGGATGAAGCTCGTCGTCGTTTGGGCGAAGTAACCAAAGATCCAACCAAGTACCAAGAAGTTTTGTTGAAATTGATCGTTCAAGGTTTGTTCCAAATCATGGAACCAAAAGCAACCATCAAAAGTCGTCAGGTTGATCAAGCATTGATCGAAAAAATCCTACCAACCGCACTTCAAAACTACAAAGAAAAAATTGGCAAAGAGGTTGTCATCACACTGGACAAGGACAGTTTCCTTCCAGCTGACGCCTGTGGCGGTGTTGAGTTGCACGCCTTGAATGGTCGTATTCGGGTAATTATTCATTCACTTGCTAATCGAAACCGGGATCATTTTGAAAATGAAAAATATTTCCATATTTTAGGTACCAAACACCTTGGAGGCACGTTTGGGTCTTGTTTCAGAGCAACTTGTTCCAGAAATTCGTACTGCTTTATTCGGTCGCAATGTAAATCGTAAATTCACCGACTAAACACTGTTATTACCACTGTTCAGTACATTCTTTTTGTTCGTTTGTTAATTTGTTTATTTGAACCAAACAACAAGGTGACATATTCTTTGAATTTTTAAAATGTAATCAATAATAATAGCAACAACAACAAAAAGCCTGAATAGAAAATTTCCCACAAAAATTCATAATAATACCACTTGCAATCGAAAATAGATCGAATTAATCGAAAATATCACATTCCTCCGACAAAGAAGATGAAAAAAAGAGTGGCAGAGCCTCAAATTAATTCATTGGCATCAATCAAAGTGAACTTTCGATAATAATATCACACAAGTAAAATTCAGTTATATCATCCAAAATCCAAATCAATCCTTCTTCATTTACCGCTTTGCTCTGGATGCTCTCATCCTGGCAAACAAACAACCAATTTTAGTCGAAACACACAAACACGCAATAACAGTTAGGAAAGAGGATTCAACTTTTAAGCTTGCGGCACCGGGCTGCACACCAGTAAGATAAATAATAATTATATATATATATATTTGAAAATGAATGATAAATAGAATTATATAATGAATGTTTCAAAGTATCTACCTAGTTGAATATGATAACAATATGCTGTAAACGGCAATTATAACACTAATATCAACACTATTATTGGAGTATCAAACATAGTTTACTGTAAAATCTCTTTGTGTGCATAATTTACATTCGTAAAAATTACTAACCATTTCATTGTTTTTTTCTCTCAATCGCTGCAGATACTAAGAGCGACGTGTTAGATTTTCGGTTTGGTTTTCTTGCTTTATTTCATTTTACCTTTGTTTTCCAAATCTCAAGTGTGGTTTGGTTTGTAATTTTAAATTGTTTTTTTTTTTAATGGCCAACACTGTGCGTTTGCAGTGACAACATCTTTTGAAAATGTTTTCGCATACCATCTGAAAATTGCTGCCTTTTGTTGTTGTCATCGTTTATTCTTCAAAAAAAAAAGTTTCCAATACAAGACAATTGAACTTATTTTCGTTGCCAATCAGCATCACTTTGCTTTCAATACACCAAATTAGTAAAACAGCCAGCAGATTCGAAATCATCCAATAGAGTCTCAGACTCTATAACAGATCAACATCATATATATATGTTTGCACCAAAATTTGCTGCATTGATGAGCATGGTTTTGGCAACGAATTTGACTTTTATTGACACCGTTTTATGAACGCCAAAAAAAATTTAAAAAAAAATGTTTTTTTTTTATTCTTTGTAACAAATGTGTTAGCTGTGTCTTCTTTTGGTTCATCGACATAACAGCAAACATCCCCTGACAAAATCAACGACGAAAAAAAAAGTTAAGAAAAAATCACTAATGAAAAAATCCAACTAAAAAAACTGTTCATACAAACAATGAAACGATTTATGAAGAATGATCGAGAGACAGCAAGAGAAGAATTGGAAATGTTGTCATGGCACAAAACACTTTTTTAACCCACTTATTGCTCAGTATTCTTTTGTTAAAATTAATTTTATTTCAAACTTGTTTTTATTGTAATTTTGTAAATATGTTTCTCATATGTAAAATTTAAAGGCCAAATATTTAAACTTTGATGTGCAAAAAAAAAAAAAAAAAACAAACAAACAAAATTACACAATTTTCCTTATTCCTCTTTGATCTTAATTAAACAGTGAATTTCAGCATTGATTGCATTAAATGTTAAATAAAATTTGGAGATAGAAATTGCAAATATTATATTATTTAAAATAAAAACACAAATCTATTGGTTGTTTTTCTCGTGAGCAATGTCCACACTTTACAATTGCTTTTTACAGCTTCAAAACCATCAATTTAAATCGATACCAACGACCCAAATATGTATGATGAACAAATGTTGAACAAAAAGCAAACAGCAACTGCATCGATCAGATAAGATCATCAGAATTCATTTTCAAAAAAAAAATATAACCGTTTAATGTAAATATGTGTGAATTTATTAGAGAATCAATAAAGAAACTTTAAGAAACATAAACATTTTTTTACAAATATTTTTTTCCAATAGCAACAAGTTGGCGAACTATTTCACAATTTGTAGCTGCATATGAATTATTCTGAATTTCCCGCTTGATTGCACTTGTATCCGTGCTATGCGATGGAATGTTCTCGACTATCTTTGTCTTCGCAGAAGCGTGAAATTCTTTGCATCCGGTAGTTTGGAGAATCTTTTCAGCGTTGCTTATTGTGATGCCACAGCCCGGCATCACTATCAAATTGTACTGTTTCTCATCGATGTACTTTTTAATGTCAATTAGTTCATCGAGGCCAAGTTCAGCAGTTTCAGCAAAACCACTCGTCAATAAACGGTCAAATCCACACGCTGCAATCATAGAGAGATGCTCGTATTTAAATTCCGGAACAGCCATATCAAAGGCACGATGAAATGTGACTGGCAGTCCGGAAGCATATTCAAAAATTTGTCCGCATTTCTTTATATCAATGTGTCTATCAGCTGTTAATGCTCCAAACACAAAACCATCAACTTTATTCTCAATCAATGCATTCATATCTTTGATGATGATTTCCATATCGGTGTCAGTGTAGTCATAAGATATTTTACCGTGCGGACGAAGCATTGCAAATACTTTTGTTTCTGGAAACTATCAAAAATATCAATCAATTTCGTCTTATCAATGGAATGACATGAGGTGAAACGTACATGAGATTTAACGATTTTTAACAAACCAACTGATGGTGTAAGACCACCTTCACTCAAAGCTGAACATAATTCAATGCGATTTGCACCTCCTTCCACGGCTGCTTTTACCGATTCGAAAGAATCAACACAAACTTCCAGCATTTTGACGGAATTTGAAAAATAAATTGTTTCTGTCTTATCAAAACCGGCCGATATTCTGAATTGTATGTGATTTCACTCAAAAGCAGTAACGTTGATGTTTGCCGCACGTCACATCGCATGTCGCACGCTCATACGCAAGCCAATTTGTGTACAAACTGTACGATAAAAATGGTTGTCATTGTATTGGTGCAACCGTATGCGTCTGTCAAATGCATAGAACGATATTCTTAGTTGACATACGAAATCGCAACAATATTCAACACATTTGTTCAGTTGTGTCAAATTAAATGATTATTATAAATGTGAATAGGCAAACAGAAGTCTTTTCGTATGTTCGCTTACAAAGTGAATTCCATTTTGTCGCATCTAATTTAAATTCATCGTAATTGAACAAATTGTCTCTAAAGTGAGAGACATATAATCAAGTGTTTCATTTCAATCTGCTAAAACACAATTTACCACTATGTTTTTGGTGGCAATAACTGGTGGTATCGCCACTGGCAAAAGTACCGTGACAAAAATGTAATTACACCAAATTTTCGTATAGTTTTTTTTCTATCTATTTTGCTCAAGTGAACATTGCACATTTATTCATTAAACCAATATTAATTTAATTGCATTCTTTCTTTCAGTTTCAAAGATAATGATATTCCTGTGATTGATGCTGATCTCATCGCCAAACAAGGTAACTGAATTAAACCAGTTCATGAAACAATTTAAATTTTTGACTATAAATTTACATTTTTCGCACCAAAAATTAACATCAACATTTAAAGTGATTGACATCAACACCCCTGCTTACAAGCGTATCAAGGCAGAATTTGGTAGGTATACGATGCAAAATAGAAATTGATTTTAAACCAAACTATTGAAAATTAATTGTTCTCCTTTTCTCTTTCGCTGTCTTTTTCTAAAAAAAAATTTTCTATTCTCAAGGTGAGGAAATACTATTGCCAAATGGAGAAATCAACCGAATCGCTTTAGGACAATTGGTGTTCAATGATGTTCAAAAACGTCGTACCCTTAATTCCATTACACATCCACCAATACATCAAACGATTTACAAACAAATTATCAAATATTTTGTGCTTGGCCATAATTTTGTCGTACTGGATTTGCCATTGTTGTTCGAAACCAGCTGGTTTTTGCCATATATTCACAAAATTATTACAGTAACGTGGTGAGTAATTTTTCAATGATTTTCAATTAAATTAAATTCAAATTGTGATTACGTGACGTATCGTTATTGAGAATAACATTGATCCATTAAAATGCGTTTGTAACATTACAGTGAGGAAGATATTCAATTGTCACGCTTGATGGATCGTAATGGATTATCAGAAGCCGATGCGAAAAAGCGAATTGCTGCCCAAATGCCAATCGAAGAAAAATGCAAGCAATCACACTTTGTCATTGAAAATTCCAGTAGTCTGAATGATGCCGAAGAGCAAACTTTAAAAATATTGGAGGTTCTCTTGGAAAGCAACCATCATTGGCGCATTCGTGGTTACATTCTGGCCACGGCAGCAGTCTTCATATCCGGTATCGCTTGGTTACTTAACAATAAGTTCAAGTTTCTAACCGAATGAAATTGATCGTCGAGACCGCACTCAAAATGTGTTGACATAAATGAGAGCCTGCATGCACAATATAAGTTATTTCCAAAAAAAAAATAAGTAATAATTTACATTTTTCATTCTAAATTCGAAAAGTTGTTGGTGTAAGGTTAAAAAAACAACTTGGAACAAATCACAACCAAAAATCCATTCAAGGAATAATAAAATTCTGAAATACAAAGTAATCAATTGTTATTTTTCTTTCTCTCACGCCATTTTCAATTACATCATGCTCGATGAGCATTTATTTTCAATTAAATTCATTCAATACATTTTTCGCAATGTAATCGTTGTCGATTTTTGTGTTTTTTAAATTGAATACCGTAATTTAAGCGATGCACGCACATTACATCGGGCACGACGACGACGGCAAAGACGACAGCACAATCACAGTAGCGCAGGTAGTTTAACACAGACATCAGCCATCTTGGAACATTTGGTTGTATTTTGAACTGTCAACGGACATTTAACTTTGTCTTGTGTTTGCTGTTTGATGCTTGGCTGCACAACACACAGATTTCTATTTTGTTTTTGTTTATTCATTTATTGATAGTGAGATAAATCATGTAAAAATGAGGCATTGTTTATATTCTTTCTTTTTTATTCGCCATCAAATTAGTTTTTTTATTTTTTTATTAAAAAATTCTATGAAAATTTAGTGTAATTGAGAAAATAAATTAAAAAAATGGTTATCGTATAAATCATGATATACGAACAATAAATGGTAACATTCTTAAGCATCTCTAGTAAGTGGTTTTTTGTCATCTCACACACAGCAAGCAAACGAGTTTCTTAGTAGCACTTCTCTTGTTGTGTGTAAAAAAGAATGATGACGAAACGGTGAAAACGGTGAAAAGAAACCAAACGATAGAGAGACAAAACCAAATATATCGTAAAAGAATAAAACGAAACGAAAAAGAAAGAAAAAAGAAACGAAGACGATCGAAAAAAAAATAGTGGAGCAAGAACGGTGCGCTCCAGTGCGAATGAAAAGAAAAGGCAAAGAGAAAGAAGTATAACTTAACTGCAAAACAATAATATACATTTGATATTTGAGATATACATGCATAAATACCTGGAATGCGGACAGGAATGCACATGAGAAATCATTGACTGACACAGCCATTTGGATGCATTCACAGGCACACGCGTACCATTTGTTATTTATCTATGTTGCCAATGTGTATTTTTGAAATTGAAATTGTGAATTATATGTGATTTTATGATAAAAACATATTCCACGTACCGTGATAGCATTCTCTAAATGAATTAAATCGAAATTGTGATTTGAAACTATGTTGACGTAATTCTTGTAAAAATTGAATTAAAATTGCTCGCAGAAATTGTATGAAAAAAAAATTAAAAATTAAATTAAAGAATTCCACAAAATGCATCATAGTCGTCGACGAAAAAAACAACGTCCAAGCTATGGTAAACGTATCGTTGATGTGTGTCGTTCGGTGAATGGATTTGGATTCACAATATCAGGTCAACAACCGTGCATCTTATCATGTATAGTACCAAATTCACCTGCTGACACAGCTGGTTTACGCACGGGCGACTTTTTAATTTCGGTTAATGGCGCAAATGTATCGAAGCAGCCGCATGAAGTTGTTGTCCAACTTATAAACGATTCAGTGGGAACGATTCGCTTGGCCATTGCGGAAAATTACTTTTCAGACAGTTCAGACGATGATACCAATTTTGCTTGGCAAAATGATAGCGCCAAGAGTATTCATGATAGTAGATCGAGACGTCCAAAATATCCACATCATAAAGTCAAAATGGTGAGATCACAGCAACAGCAGCAGCAACAACAACAACAACATCAACAACAAAACCAACAACAAACTCGTCGAAAATCGGAGCATGAACAACCATCGGCAGTTGTTCCATTTCCGCAGACGCCTGATCATACGGATGGAATGTCCGCATATAACATAATACACTCGGCCCAAGCAAGCAATGACAGAGATATAAAAAATGTTAGCGCTATGGTGTCATCGCTTAAGAACGACAACAATAATTGCGACGAACCCAATTTATTACAATTGGAGTATCGAACGGTGGTCGGTTATTTGGGTACCATTGAAATGCCAAAACAAATCGGATCGAATTCAATGTTTCAAACGGTTCGAAGTTGCATTCGGAAAATGCGCCAAGAAAAGCGAACACCGACCGTGATTCTTATGCAAATTTTACCCAATTGCCTAAAATTATACAATTCAGACAATGTGCTATTGGCCAAGTATCCAGCCGCACGACTTAGCTACATTAGCAGCAACAATAATAATAATAATGGCAACGGCACAGCATCGGCAGCTGCAAATTGTGATGGTGACATGCGCTTCTTTGGATTGGTTACATCGTCCACCTATAACGATGGCAAAGTATGTGATTGGGGCGCAAGCAGTACAACAGCCGGCAAACAACCAGAAGTGATTGTTTCAAATAGTTGCCATGTCTTTGTAATTGATTTAAAATTAATTGAGCATGGTGATCATTTCACGGTAAGACTATATCATGAATGTGTATACTTATTACATATAATAATTACATATTTTCTCTGAAATTCACAGCGAGCTGAACAATTTTCAATAGTGTGTACTCGAGATCCAGTTACGAATTGTTGCTTAGAATTTCCAAGTACTTCTGAATATGTTGTGAATTTGATACGAATAATGTACGCATTAAATTCAGATCATGCCAGATCGGCCGATCAAAGGCGATCAGTGCAACGAGTTCTTGATATAAATGCACGTCCACATCATTTGCGAAATCCAAATGGCAGACACAATTCCCCTCAGCCGAGCAATCACAGTGAAATCACCACCGCTTCAAGTAATTCAGACTCTGGAATCGGATTTCACAATGATTTTACAAACGTCTCCGATCGCATTGTGGTGATTGATTTTCCAAATCATAATGGTCATAGTCAGCAACGGGCAGCCCCACGATTGCCGCCAAGTTCACAGCGAATGGGTCGATTCAGTGAGCGGCCAGTACCATTTGGAGCGGAATCGGTGCGTAATATTCGATCAACAATTAACGTTCAATCAATAAATGATGTGCCAAGGCCCGCGATATTTCATTCAAAGTCCCGATCGTTGGACTATACATTGAACGATGAAAACCATTTGGCCGGTCCGAGCAGAAAATCAATGCCAAATGCTGCTGTTCATCTGGTTCGTGCCATGCCAGATCGAATGACACCAAAAATGCCATTGCAAGAGAATTGCGCTTCAATGCCAAACTCACCGATCAAATACGAACGATACGAGACGATTTTTGGCACCGATTCAGAAAAAACCATTTCCGATCAACAAGATCAAATTCCTCAATCGGACGACGAAGATGAGATTAGTGATTGTCGAAGTAATTCAGCAATGTTGACTGCAAGATCATGCGATGATCTCATGATAACTGCTCGAGCCCATCAATTTCCAAAAACTCGTCAAGTTCAACAAATACTATCATCGTTTGATGATGTTTCACTGTTGGGTGAAGCGCCACCACCTCCATTACCATCACGGTCAAGAGTCAACAACCAATCGGCCGACGATGATAACGGTGATTATGTATTTTTGGCACCACAAGCACCGCCACTTACGAAAAAAGCAAAGAAAAAGAAGGCATCCACATGCAGCGGTGGTAACAAATCAACTGGCACAAGTACCATTGATGAAATCCTCTCGTATAAATTAAGCCCAAAAGTATTTGGCGTTACAAAACCAAACCATGGAAATAATAAACAAACAAACAACAAAGCCAAGAGACGACTTTCTGTTGAACCAAAAACAGATACAGACCGAAAAGTGTGCTCCATTAAAAACCGTGATTTTAGCATTTGGGGCAGCCTACAAGACTTGGAAATGTTGAATCGCTTAGAAATTGGAAATTCAGCCGATCAACGCATTGGTCGACGTGATTTCCTTGAGCCAGCTTATAGTGAACCCGATCTACTGGTGAGTTGACTCTTTTTTTTTTCTTTTAAGATAAAAATAAGTAGGGCAAAAAATACATCACATGACATCATATCTCGCATCATATGACTTTACATAAATTATTACAAAAATAAAAATCCAATGGAATTTCATATCAAACTCTTACCGTATTTACAATGTTCGACGTAATGAAAATCACACCACTATCATCATTTCTTATGATTCGCAGTCTAAAAGTTCAGTTAAATGGGAATACATTTTTTTTGTGCTATCAACGTATAGAAAAATGTTGGTAATTTTTGATATTTTTATATTTTTGAAACATCGAATGTATTGTACGTTGAAATGAATGGGGTGTGAAATCGCGACTATTTCCTCTGTGAATAATAGCCATGTGAGCACAATTCCAATGTAATAGTACAATAATTTGAAGTGGAGTGAATATATATGGAATTGCGGTTTGATTACGATTCGGTTCGCATTTAACAGTGAAAGCAATTTACGTCAAACACATGAATCAGTGCGATAACCTATTCTAATTGAAAGACTAAATAAGCGAATGTAAACATTCTGGGTACAACAATATATACTCAATATTTTAGTAGCTGTAATAAAATTCATGACTCAAAGGAACATATGAGGCGGCATTATTTGTGATAAGGTTTTAAATAGCATTTTTAGCCATTTTGTTGGAAAAAATATGGAAAAATATAGAAAAAAACAAACCAAAGAATACCGACAGTACTTCAGTTATCGAGGCTTGTTTATGAAATTCACACTGAACTTTTTAGTGTTCGCTCCATTGAATAGCAACTAATAGGGGCGTTTTTTTGTGTAAATGTTCTGGACATCTGACCCAGTTAGTGATTTGTAAATTGCACATAAAATGAGTTTTTATTTAAAATCAATGATACTTTGTGTGCATGGAATATTCGGAAATGACGAAATTGAAAAGAATGTAAGTCCAGTAGTATTATCCGTATTTAAATCATTTAAGATGTTTATTAGAAGAGTTATCCCTTCTGGTGAAACTTTTCAATAAAGTACTAAAGATAATGAATGTAAAGACAATGGCAAATAAATTGAAGAAAAAAAATTCAAGGCTATTGTTGACCAGTAAATAACGTCTTATCTCTTTGGCGCCAAAGTGGCAAAAAAATGTGAAATATTTCTGAAACCAGCATCTGCAACATTCAATTAAAGATCATGTTCACTAAACTCGATTTACATTTTGCTTTCCATGTACGTGCATATTTTCTGGTTAATAATTGCTCATCGAATCACAATGCTATTAATAAGGCTTCAGCCATTAAATAGCTATTTGACATTGAAAACGAAGCGAAATATCGATAGAACAGATGGTAAAAAATTATCATTATTCCAATATAACAGTAGATAGATAAGAGTAACCAATACCACAACAACCACACATCAATTTAGCGCACTTCGAAAAAAAAAGAATCGTTTATTTGCAATTAAACCAATATTGATTGTCTGCATTGAATGTCGAAAACAAAAATGTAATAAAATTCTATGTTTGAGAGTCAATTGGCGTTCGTTAGAAGCGTTTGATCGGGAATTCAAATCATCAAATAGCACTTGTAGTGCAGACGCATGTCTGCGTTGAACATATGCCGACCATATTACGCACATACACACATATTTTTCTCACTAATTGTAACGAACTTTTTGTCATTTTCTCTATCTTTCACTTTACACTCTACACTTGAATTTATTTCAATATATCGTTTTCTTCGGTTTTTTCTTTTTTTTCGGTATTCCGTTCGCAACGGATATTTTCGTGCGGTGCATACGTGGGTTCGGTGCATTCATCCACCTGTACTATTTGCAGCAGCGAGAGACATGCATTGCAGTCCGATACACTTGACCGCACACACTTTATGCACCGGCACATTATTTAAATTACATTTTATTCATAAAACATCGGTTGTCGGCATTTTCACCTTTTCCATTTCAATTATTTTTTCCACTATTTTTTGTCTTCTTCGGTTTTAATGCTTGTTTTTCTGTTATTTCTTTTGTTAAAACCAAATGTATATATATATGTGTCATCTTTTAAGCATCAGTATCGTCAATAAAGCGATCAGTTCCAATCGAATCGTTGAACAGTGTACATCATAAATAGCTAAGCTACTCAAACGTAGATAACAGTTTGTAGTACACTTGATTCGCTTCGACATTTGAGTTTGAAATATTTGAAAAACAAAAAATATTTTCAGGAAAAGTTCATTTTTAAACAACAAAAACATAGTTTAAAACACAAAAACCCAAAATAAAACAAGTTGTTTGGTATTAATGACAGTCCATTTGTATTGCGAACCATTGGTATGAATCATCAATTTGCGGAAAGTGATTGTGTATATCATTCGAAATAGCTCATTGACGGCAAAAAAAAAACCAAAGACAAATACATATTAGTATAGCTACGATAAATTGGCACATTGCTCTCTCAATCTCGAGTACTCTGTGATACTATAGTGAAATCGATATTGATCGAGGGGGAAAAAGAAAAGAAATTGTTTTAAAAATGGGCACGAGCGCATACAAATGATAGTGAATTTAGTTCATGTTATTGAAATTAAACGACAACCTTGTAACCAGTTTATACATATTTATCTGTCAATCTGTCAACCATTGATCTTTATGAAAATATCTCGAGTTTATTAGTTTGGAATTCGCTCTCTCTCTCTCTCTGCGTGTGTATGTGTATTGAGATGAATTAAATACAATTTCAAATGTGTTGACAAGTAAAATAAAACGAACAAGCAAAAAATGATGCCATTGAAAAAGTCAGCAACGCTCAGTAATTGTGATTATAAAAATCTGGCGCGACAGTATCAAATGTCTGGATCAACTGTAGATCCACGTCCGAAAAGAGGACCAGATGTAAAAGTTTTGATTCAAACATTGAAAATGAATCCAAAATTGGAGCCAAATTCAAGTGATCATCGTGCAAATGCTTGTAATCCAGCAAAAATGTTCAAATCTGTGATTCAACGTGCAAACGATTCTGGTTCAATGGATACAAGTCTCGAATATAAACCTTTGGCTATGCCAAAATCAACACAAAACCATAAAATAGCATACTTTGACGAATTACGTGAAATATTTAAAGAAAATAAAAACATTCAAATAAATAATGTGCAACAAAAGATCGGAACACCATCCAAACTACCATTTGCAAATCGAAAAAATCTGCCAACTACACCGATTGATTCAGAATCGAGACCAAAGAGTAATAATAATGCAAGCAATAAGCCAAAATTATGTGAAAAATTCATCGAAACGATTAAAATGAGCAAGAAAATGCCAGCCAGTTCGACACCATACCGACCAAAGCTTGACAACCAAACCAATAATAATTGTAAAGGTGAAATAAACTTGATGACGCCCTCGACAGATGTTCGATTCATTGATTCTGACACCGAAACAATCGATGATGATTTCAATAGTAAAACATTGGTCAAGTGTTATTCGTTAACACGGGCATCGTGTCGTCGAATGTCTTCGTTTCGAAAATCCTTTCGAAAGCAAAGTATCAAATCCGATATTTTAACGTCAACTAGTCCAACATTTGAACGACGATCTCTTTTTTCGTCATCTTTCAATGGAACTTCGAATCGTTCGTCGATTATTTCTACGACGGAAGTATCACCATTACGTCGTCAACGAAATATTAAAATTAAAAATTCGAAATTTCTTAACTTTTTCCGGCCGTCCAGGGTCTATGCAGAAGATTCAGAAATGAAATATGAAAGCAATTTAACACAAACATGTAACAATTTAACGGATCTATTGGCAAAATCAAATCGAAATTTTGAAGAATTGGGCTGTGCGCCGCTTCTCACAAAAGACAATATATCAATTTACAATGGGAATGAAGACGAACTGAATGATTGTGATAAAACAATCGAATGGGATAATAAATTTGAATTTTCCTATATATGTGAACCGTCTACGTCGGATATTGGCGACGAAGATGATTTCGAATGTTTTTCGACAACAGAAAGTGAATCAAAACTTCAGACTCACATTCCATTTGTGAGAATTTCACCACCGTCCATTGAATCCCGTGAAAGTTATTACATGAAACAAGGCAACGCCATCGAATACAACAGCAGCGCCTTTTCACCATTTCGACGTTCAACAAGTGATCCGGCATTGATAAGACTGGCTACACATTTCGATAAAGAGCACTTGGGTTTGAATGATGGAAACGACTTCAACGATCCATTAGACTTTTATAACTGTGCACCAGGAAATATTGTAAGTGATTTAATAGCTACTTATTCATCGATCCCATATATAAACCGAAAAACAACGATATTATAAATAGCGCTTGTTGTCGATTTCCTTCCTCTGCTTTATTAAAAATAACCAAATGTAAAATGTCGGCGTCATAATAGACAGCGTAATGCAGAGGAAATGAGATTCAAACTCATTGACATTGTTAGCATTTATTAAAGCATCAAATTCGAACGAATTTATTATTGTAAACGTAAAATTACGGTTCATTCGAATAATGTATCTCCACTTTTTTTTATGACAAACAAAAATAGAATCGTATTTCAGTTATACCCCGATGATGCACAGCAAATGTGCATCGAAAATATTTCGCTGAATGTTGCAAACATATGAATGCATTCCGTTTCTCTGGAATTCTTTTTATTAAGTAAACATTTTATTCTTGAGTCATACAACCACAAATGATTTTAAATTTATTTTTGAACGTTTGACGCTCGATGCCGAGCCCAATAATTAAAAGCAAAATCGTCCATTCCAAACTGGAAATAAGTTCGAAAGTTTAGTTTGATCGGGTAATAAATGTAAGCTGGTAAAACATCATTTTTTTGTGCCCATTAATTAGTTGGTTTCGACGCTGAATTTGCATACGCATTTCTGTGTGAATGAATTGTCATGAGTGTGTGTCGGTACAAATGCCATATTAACGCATGTATAATGTGGGCAAATTGAATATCCGATGAAAGCAAACGAAACGT